CCCTTTGTTTTGTGGTTTATGCATCTTATCTGGAGAGCTTATTTCTGAGTGAGGACTTACCTACTATCTTGCAATTGCTCATTGAGCTGCTTTTTTTTTTTTTTTTAATATCTTCTTATTATTTTAGAAAAATACTATCACAGACAGATAAATACACAGAAAAAGGCACTGCATTTTTAAGGCAGCTGTCAAATTGTAAGTGGAAGTCACTGTAACTTCAGTAAAAGGGGAAAAAATCATCGTGGCTTCAGATTCTTTCCACCCTAGCCTCTTCCTTCATGCTACATTTCCCCTGCTTTGGCACCAGAGTTGTGTTCAAAGCTAAATTCTAGCTCCTCTAGACGAAGAATTACCAAAAAAAAAAAAAAAAAAAAAATCAAAGAAAAAGAAAAATGCTCAGCTATATATTAGTTTCATTTTCTTCTGCTGGTCTGGCCATACCCAGTAGCGCTTTTGTCAATATTGTATGTGCTCTGGCAAACAAAGGTCTAATTAAACAAAGCAGAAGTACTTCAGCCGGTTTAAAGCACCTGAAGCCAGAATTTAAAAGCAGCTAATCAAAAAAGAAACCAAGATCCTCCATACCCCACAACCACACCCAAACCCATATTTATATTCAGACAAGAGTTTCTCCAGGAATTCTTTCTGCTGTAAATTACTTGCTTGCTCATCTAGTGCTAAGGCCAGCAAAATATTCCTATTCTTCAACACAAGATACAGCATTGCTTTTCACTCAGTTATAATGCAGCCCTCTGTCACAAAACCAAATTATTCCTATAACTGAGCCAGCCATATCACTGGTCTATTGTGAAGGGTGTTACTCCTCTTCCCTTCCACGCCCCAGTTTTGCCTTATAAATCTGCAAACATATCAAAGATCACTGAGTCACTTCGATGCATCACTAATAAAACTGATAACATTTGATCAGTGATAACAGAGCTCTCCCTCCCAGCTTACACAAATACTATAATGTAAATATGCAAGTAAAAATACTCATATTATTCCATTTTTAACTGCAATCAACTTACTGACAGATTACAGGAAGATCAACAAGGTACTGTATAACTGCATGATTTTCCTTTCCCTTGACACAGTCAGCTGAGCATAGGAAAACCACAAACAGGTTCAGCATACATGAGGTTTTTCAGCACAATAATGAAGTATCATGGCAACAAGGTAAATGTTAAAGTGGCCTTGCATCAGGTCCATTGTTTCTGCTGATCACGCTTTTCTGATTACTTGGTTTCTTAGCATCTTTAAATATAATTTAAAACACATAAATAAGCTCAATTTAATTCTCAGTGTGAGAATAAATTGCTGTCAAAATATGTTAGAGGTACAGAGAATACGCATACAGCATAGTCACTGAGATACTCTAAAGACATACAATGCTTGGCACGTAAACAGCATGCAAGTCTCATACACCATTGAAACCTTTCATTAGTATATGGGAAATCTAATGTAGCCAGTATGCCTCTGTTTGTTACTAGTGCACATTCATGCCAGGAAGTTTTAGCCTTTTCCCTTTCCTCACAGAAAAGACCAGAAGACCAGACTTCTTTTGGGCACACTACTTCTGTTCACATAGAAATTGCCCAGTATTTACTAATATATTAACAGTGTTCTGCAAAAGGATGAGCAAGAACTTCAGAGTAACTACTCCGAATTTTCTCCCACATAATTGCTCTGAATGAAACACCTAAGGGAGAGATGCAATCCATGGCTTATATCCAGAAGAACTAGTGATATTGCCAGCAATCTCTAATCTGCAGTTTAATTTAGTATTTGCTTATTACACAGAGTAAGATTCCACTTCTGAACAGTTTATAGAAAGGCCAAAATCACCTTCACCTATCACAGAGGAGATATCGTGAGAGATGAATCACAGAATGGTTTGGGTTGGAAGGGACGTTTAAGATCATCTAGTTCCAACCCACTGCTACAGGCAGGGACACCTCCTTCTAAACCAGGTTGCTCAAAGCACCATCCATCCTGGCCTTGAATGCTTTCAGGCAGGGGGCATTCATAACCTCTCTGGGCAACCTGTTACAGTGTCTTTGAAGGCTCTGAGCATTACTTGACAGCTGTATTTCGGCAGTATTAATCTTCTCTGGCTACCCAAGATGTAATTCAGCTAGTTTCCGGCCTTGCCCTCAACACTGCCACTGTGCTGTTTTTGTGATCCTCCAATACAGGAATCTGTGGAGCATGCCATGACACTCACTCTTAAAAATAAGGATGATCTGGTACCTAGCCATAAACTGCTGAGTGCTGTTCCACTTCTACAGCAGTGGCCTCAGCTGTTCAGTTTCCTCAGTGCTGAAAGACATCCAGCTAGAATTCCTTTTCATTCACTTACAGCAACCGCTACAGTTTTCCTATTCCATTTATGCCTAACACTGTCCCTTTAAAATAATATTTGATTACTTTTATAAAAACAATATATAATATATAATTTTTGAGTAATAATAATAATTAATAGTTCCAAAAAGTGTATCAAAGCAACTACCTGCACTTATGTCTATGTCTTGTGTTCCTTCTTCTACTACCAATCCCAATTTGCAGATACCTGAATGTAAAAACTTTACACTGTCTCCCAAGCTCATCACATCCCTTCACACACATTTACAAAACAAGATGAATGACAAAGAATCATATAGATAAATATTCAAAGCATTTGCTATGGATAATTAGCAAAGTGTGAATTTCTGATGGACACTTGCCAGAAGTGATGAAAAATATTTTGGATGTGACTTCCCAAATAAGCTTTAAAGTGTTTCATGAGCTCAGGTGCCAGCAAGTTACAGTGAGATTTTACACTCCTGTATTTCCATTGTAGACTCTGTTTTACATGACTAAAAGCTTTTGGTTGCACTGTCAGTACCTGTGAGACTACTGCGACCATGCAGCAAGCCACAAAGAACCAGGCTGGAAACACTGCTGACCCAGTTTCATACGGACCTCACATTCAGGAGCATTTAATATCTGCAATGCATAAAAATGTATTTGAGAACCTCTGGATGGAGGAACCCAGTCTAATGTGTGCTTGTATGCTGACCTTATGACACTATTTAGCAGATCTAGGGATTAAAATTCATCGTTGAGACATGCTGCTTGAAATCCTGAGGACTTTGCCACATTCCCAGACCTCAACTCCCAAAGGTAGTAGCAACTGCATCTGCAACCTTCAGGGTACAATGTAAAAAGGATCTTCTGCTTGAATTGGCTTTTAGGTAAGTCTCAGATACAAAGTCTCTTAAGCATTAAATGCTCTGTTTAAATCTTTTGACCCACTGCTCTTCCTCAATGAACAAAAATAAAAGTTTTGCATTGTTCTTGGGATGTATATATGAAATCTGATTTTTACCTTTTATTCATACAGAACTTTAGGAAAGGACTTATACATTAAAATTTCACTCAGTAGAATGAAGACAATGTTTTCTTTACTTTTTTGCACAAAATGGGGGGTGAGCATCGCTTTTGGTGGTGCTAGTTGTTTGTTTCAGAAACAGTATGTAAATATTCCATTTATTTATTTTGCTTATTGCACCACTGTTTCAAAGAAACAATGTTCACGAAGATCCTGATTCTGCAATACTCAAGAGGATAAAAACAAACAAACAAAAAAAAAAAAACCAAGAAGTAAGAAGGTGCCAGCTCAGAAGTGCTGCCAGGTAACCCTTCATCTTTCTCACTACAGGCAAGAAAGAAGCATGCTGGGTTAGAGCTGTAGATCCGAATGCCTCAAGTTAAGCCTGTTTATAGGCAAAATCCTGCTTCCATAAAATGCAGTGACACACGGGAACAGATTTGCCAAGGAGATTGTGGATGCCCCATCCCTGGAGGCATTCAAGGCCAGGCTGGATGAGGCTCTGGGCAGCCTGGTCTGCTGGTTGGCAGCCCTGCACATAGCAGGGGGGGGTTAACTAGATGATCACTGTGGTCCTTTTCAACCCAGGCCATTCTATGATTCTATGATCCTCTTTCGCTCTTGCTAGGCTCAACCTCATGCATCTTCTGGCACAGAGTGCATGCTGCAGGCAAGCAACCAGCCTCCTTGGCAGAGTACAGCTAGTACAAAGAAGTTTCAAAGCAAGTAACATATATTCTTTAGTACAAGGATGTCACACATAGGTAAAAAATAAAGACACTTAGTCTATGCACTTGGAAGTAAACAACAGTTAAATAAGTACATTCAAACACGTAGATCGGTACTAGGTATGGAGAAGACACAAGAAGACCACCAGAAGAGTATTTTTTTTTTCTATAAGAGAACAGCAATTGCACATAAAACCTCAAAGTACACATTTTACATCCAAACACATGGCAACCTGCCACCACCACATAGTGAACTATGCCGGTATTGGAAGTCATTATTTTCATGGCAGTACTAGCAGGTTATAATACACCAACTCCAACAGGGCAAGGAAAATTCACAGCACTTCCCTTCCAAAACCATACCTCCTGACATCCAGGCTTCCTAACACACAAGCAGAAGAATGCTAAAGCATTTCTAGAGTAGAAAATGTTCACTGAGTATACAGAACATAACCTCTCTTATGAATTAATCCAGGAACATTTTGATGTCTAGACACATCATGCTCCACCATTAGCACTTTACAAAGGGGACACAAGCTAGTAAGGACCTATACACATGTTACGAAATTACAAAACTGTACAGTCCAACTCATGAGCACTAATACCAAACACAAACTTCCAAATCTGCAAGTCATTTACCTGTGAATTACCATGGAGTGAATTGTTTGTCCTGTTTCACATTGTATTAACAGTAGCGGTCACAGTTCTTTCAATCTATCTCCTGTTTACCCAGGAAAACACAAACCAAGCAGAAATGAAAACAACTGGCATCTGCCAACAGGAAGGAAGGAATCAAATACTGTCCTTATGGTGAAGATTTCCAAGACAACATCTAATTTGTTTGCTAATCCCAGCGCTTATGCAGCCTCTGCTGCAAGAACTGACACGTGGGAAACACTAACCTTCATCACTTCAACCTGCAGATCTTCATTGAGCGAAGGAGTCACTTTGACGGCATTCAGCATCTGATTAAGCAACTGTTTCTCATCCGAGTCTGTTTCCACGGATACAAACCTCTCATCAGACAGCAGCTTCTGTAGAGAGAAAATGGCAGTGCACAGATTGAACACAATACTGCCTCTGACTAATGCTGCCACTAACTACTATACCAAGCCTACTAATGTTGGTACTACAGTGGCTATGTTCCATATACAAAATTCAAAGTGATCCAGTAATATAAGGAAGTACAGCAAAAACTGGGGAACCCAAGCTGCAATGAAGGAAAAGTTCATATCTTTTGAACCTGCTGCCATTCCAGCAGTGTCTTTCCCACCCTGCCTTTGGAGCATCCATTATCAGCAACTGATGTGAGATCACAAACCATTCGAAATAATGCCTTCCGTCCCTCCTAAACAAAGTGGGAACAAAAAATAAAAAAATCCCCAAATAGGTTAGTGCCCTGACCTCAAACTAGTGCTAGCAGATACCCTGCTCAGTTGGAGACAAAAGATTCAGCTGTCTTCTAATTCTGAAAGACACAGAACACAAGCACAGTGGATAGAGCATTTCTGACCACTGACACGTTTAGTGTCATTCAAAAGCTGACTTATCACGAATGCTATCAAATCCTCAGAAGGAGAGAACTGCTAGCAAATGAGAGGCGTAGGAACCATAGGAAATATGGTACCCAGGAATGGATTCAATTCAGACTGATTGAGCTTCAGGCTAAATATTTCAGACCAGACTGGCTTTGTCTTGAAAAAAGTGCATCAGAGCCAGCATCTTCCAACAACTGGAGATGTGTGAGACTGAGGGAATCAACATGAAAAATATTAGTGGGACATGAAAGATTTTCACTAGGATTTTGTGAGAGTCTATTTTCATGCTTGAAAGTGGGACTGATAGATAGAAACACTTAACTGAGCTCTTCATGTTACATTCTCACTTCCTCGAGCTAACCATGTCCCATTTCAAGAAGATTTCAGTTATTTCACACTTCTCCCATAAAAATCAACAAGTTTCTAAAAATAACTGCCTCTCACATTCCGGCCTCAATTTATTCACAACCAGTTCATCCCCATAAGTTCTTTTTCTACCCAAATAAAACACTGTTTATTCTTGCTGTTTTCCCTAAAGGTCTGTGGGCTTTTTGTTGTTTTTGTTTAAAAACAAAGAAACAAAAAAATCAAACACCTCTGCTTTTGTTTACTGAACCTGAACAAACCAGGCTCTATCAGCATTCTACAACAATACTGAAAATATTTCAAAGACTGTAACAGCTCCAAATTCTTTTTAATGCACTCTCATGAAGAACAAAAAATTAAATCAGTATCACATGTTAGGTAACACATCAAGGGGACATAGCCATTGAAACAATTTCCTCAGGACTGTACTCTGAACTCCTCTTCTACATAGTCTAGAACCATTTCACTGGTACCTCCTGTTAGTGACAGCCTCTTGCAACAAATGCACTCAGGCAAATATTTTTCCAGAACTGTCTCTCCTAGATGATCCAACTGCAGAGAAAAACAACCTTGTCTTATTTTCCAGGAACAAAACGTTGCTCTGTCCCAGAACACTCTTTCAATAGCCCACTTTATCCTGTACTTTCCGCATGACTTCTGTCCTTAAGCTCCCTCCCAGCTTCAAGTCTGTAGAAGTAGGAATGAAGTAGTCCTATTTTCTATGCTTATACTTTTTTTTTTTTTTTCCTGGGATAGAGTTAATTTCCTTCATAGTAGACCACATGGTGTTGTGTATGGGGTTTGTCAGCAAAACAGCATTGATGTAAATAATATGTAAACCAATGTTTTAGCAATTAATGAACAGTGCTTGAACAGCATCAAGGTCTTTTCTGTTTCTCATATTGCCCTGCCAGCGGGTAGACTAGGGGTGCAGAAGAAGTTAGGAGGGTGCACAGCTGATACAATTGATCACAGGGGTGCAGAAGAAGTTAGGAGGAAGCACAGCCGATACAACTGATCACAGGGGTGCAGAAGAAGTTAGGAGGGAACACAGCTGATACAATTGATCGCAGCTGACCAAAGCAATATTCCCTGCCATATGGTGTTGTGCTATGCAGGAAAAGCTGAGGGGAAAGAAGGAGAAAAGGAGCAGAGGAAAAAACTATGGCATTTATCTTCCCAAACACTCTTAAGGCAAAAGTCAATTAGAGTAACTTTAAAGAAAATACATTTTTTTTCCTAGATAAAGCCTCACACCACCATGTTGTGCCTCCATATGGATCACTTCCTCTAACAGTATGCCTGATATCTCATATGCAGAGTTAAGTGAATTTGAACTTACATCCTTACGCTCCCCAAACAAATCTATGTTTACTCTTTGAGAGAGAAGCTTCTTATTGAAAAACAGTAGCAGGCATTTCACAATTCAGCAGTGTACCAGTTTCTTCCACAGCTAATCTCTCTCAAGTGGTAAGAATTTACTGATGCATAGCTATTTGTCCAATTAAAAGAAAGGTAAACTGTTTTAATTTTATACTGTCAAATACTATAGTGCCTTTTTGTTTCTCATGCTTTGCTGTTGTTTTTGTCTGCAATTTCAAAAACATTCACATCCAGTGATATTGAAAAAAACATGGGAAAAAAACCCTGCAAATAGCTTCAGGATCTTTTATTAACTTCTTCATCACTTCACTCTAGTTTCTAAGAAACTAAGCAGCTGTAAGGTAAGGCTTCCTGAGGACCACGCAGAGGGCACAGAGCCACATGAGGAAGACTACATCTCCATCTCATGTTGAAAGTCAGGAACTCCCACCTATGTGCAGAACATTTCAAGCTTCTACAGAATCAACAGCCTTCAATTGCACTCTAAATTCTGAATACTGTTACAGAAAAATGAACATCACTGTTACATCCACCAGAAGACAGACACATCTTCTGTAGCATTTTTTCAAAAGAAAAGCCTAAATTTCCTTGATGCCCACTGCCTACTAATATAAACACCCCACTCTTAAGCCATACCTGCATCCCCGCAAGAGCCTGCTGGGCCAACTTCATGCTCTTCGATTCCAGAGCCAGTTGGAGAGGAAGGAGACACTTCTCCCTGAAGTAAGAATAAATAAGCAAATAAATGTGAATGGGAACAATGGAATTAAAAATAGTATTAAAAAAAAAAAAACCAAAAAACAAACAACAAAACAAAAAACCAACAATGTTCCAGAAGGTCTGTATCACTGTCCATAAGATAGTAGTTGCATACAAGGAGAGCTTCACAACAACTCCATGAGGCACTTTTCCCCTCTAAAGAAAGCTAGCATATGTCCACATGTACTTTTAAGAATGACTTTTTTAAGTGATATTCCACAAAATACTTCTCAATTGTTAGCCTTCCATGTGCATAAATGAATGTGCAAAGCACAAAAAGAAGATTCACAGATCACTACTGATTCTTCATCTCAGCATAATAAGCATAAGTACTTCAGTCACTTGACTTCTATTTCATATTTAGACTGCCAGAAAAGTTGTTTCAGACCCAACTTCTTATCTGTGAAGTTTTGGTCTATGGCCTCCTTCACAGTACAGTGTGTCCTGCCATATTAGCAGCCCACAACCATAACCAGTGTAGACACAAGCAAATGGAGGAAAAAAAATAAATAATGGGGGATTCAGGTTGGACATTAGGAAATACTACTTCTCCAAGACTGTGGTCAGACACTGGAATAGGCTGCCAAGGGAGGTGGTGGTGTCACCATCCCTGGAGGTGCTCAAGAAATACTTAGGTGTTGTACTGAGGAACATGGTTTAGTGAGAGATATTGGTGATAAGTGGATGGTTGGACTGGATGATCTTAGAGGTCTTTTCCAACCTTGGTGATTCTATGATTCTATGAAATGCCTACACGTGAAATAGCATGTATGAGAACTATGATAAAACTGTACCCTGATTATAGAATAACACAAACTTTTGCATGTTAAAATAAACCAGTGACCCAGGTAGTAGTTTAGATGCTTTTGACTCAGTACTCAGACACTGGATTTTTCTTGTTTGGAGAGCAAACCAACATTGCCTGGAGCTGTGATTGCTGCGACTTCTCTCTTTATTCCTTTTTCTACATCAGAGAGGATTTGCAGCATCTGGAGAACACTTAGCAACCATAAGCCCTTTCAAGCTAATCTTGCTCACTGGCAGGAAATACATTCCCAATAAGAGATACTTAGCCCATGTCTGACTGCAGTCTCCCTGAAGGTCTGCAACACTTCATTAGGTCATATATCATAAAGGCACTTATCTGTACCCACAGAGTCTAGTTTTGCACTTGTATAACAAGGTTTGCATATGGCAAACCATCCTGTGCCAGCCCTTGAGAGTCTTAGCTCTTCAAATGTCAGCATCATACCACAAAGACCCCCTTTGGAATCACCTGTATGAATTTTCCACTCTTAGAGACAAGTGTATAGAGGGCAAGAAGGAAAAGAAGATATCTAGTTGCCTGTTTTCTTGCCTAAATGCAAACTAAACAGTCCTGACCATCTGGAGCATGCTTCTGTTTTAAAATCTCAATGTATTCAAACTCACCCACCCTGGTATTCTCAAAACAGAGTCAGAATGTTTGGTCTTTGATCTGAACACCAAAATGAAGTTTTCCCTCATTTACTCTTCTTTCCTGTGAGCTGCCTTTGACCTGAATTCACTTAGTTTCAGTTGACCAAATGTTGAGTTGTCTGTCAAAAAGTATATAAAATTAAAATTGATCAACTCTTACAATTCTTAAGGAACAAATTCTGATAAATTAAAACACACTATGCCACAGTGCGTAATCTGCTTCTTTTGTAAGTTCTCCCTTCATAACCAACTAAGAAGTTCCAGGCTAGAGCAGTAATTGCTGCAATTTCAGACAATTGCCAAAGCTACCTAAAAATCATACCTTGCCATTGTCTGCCCATAACCTATTAATCTCCCTACAAAACTGGCAGTCTACAATCTGAACTTGCCTTTTTGTTTTGTTTTGATTAAATAAAGATGGGGTTACCAAACACTGGCTATTTCAGCTTTGGGGAACTCAGCTTGAAACTCCTCCAGCAGATCCTGTTTACAACAGAGACTGAAAACCCACTCTGAAAATCAACTTTATTGTGTGGATCCAGTAAGTATTAGTCCAGTATATATCCAGTATACAAGTAAGTATTCCTTTCTTTCCTTCCACCTTGCCCCGAAAGGGACACAAATCACTAAGGCTACCCTTAAGGAGCACAAAACTGCTGTACGCTCCTTGAAACACAGCTCCCCCCTCTTTAACAACAAATTAAAGACTAGAGTCACAGGCACGGCACAGTTAAGCAATCTAGTAAGCTTCTGTACTTGGCAAAGATCTCGAGACAAATCTGCAGTCTTTCTGTGTTTGTAAGTTCTTCCCAGTTATGGGAACTTGTAAAAGACCATCTGGCATAACACCAAAAGCAGCTTTTAAAATAATCCTCAATGGCACAGATTTCTAAAGAACTCTTGAGTAGACTCCCTGTGCATCTCAAAAGAGGTTTACAACAAAAAGGTAGTCAATTTGCTTCACTCAGAACACTCTGAGAAATGGGTAAGCACAAAGACCAATTTTCTCACAAAATCCTTTCTTGAATCCTTCCTGAATCACTTAATCACTTTAGCTAGAAAGACCATTTAAAAAACCATAAGTTTCACATCTAAAACAGCTAAAACTATCTCACATGTGGGAAACATCTCCTCAAGAGTTCAGTCACTGTGATACACAGAAACTTCAAAACATCTGATCCAGGGTTCAGACAGCAAACCTTCAGCCAGTACAGAACCGAGTATCACCTATGCATCTATTGTCTGCTTTGCCCAGACTTGGGAACGCAGGAAGCATGCAGGTAAATTGTGAGAAGTACTGCTATGGCATGTCTCTAAACCAGGAAGTCATCTCCAACACAAAGCACATTCAAGTCTACTTTAATATTCATCAATATCAACCTCTGGGCAAACTCACACTTGAAATTAGTAGATTGACAGGTGCCAAAACATTAAATGGTATTCAAAGAGCCAGAAACACACCAAAAGAAATCTCAGTAGTGTATAGTACCAACTGCAGAAATGCTAAAAATTAACAGTTGCTCTGTCCTGAAGAGATGCAGGTCTAAATATCACATTTCTTTTAGATTTTCTACAGTTCACTGCAACAGTATTTAAATATTTGTGGGCATTACTAATGCACAACAAACTTCTTCTTGTATTAAAGTGGATGAGACTGATAGTAGAGGAGGAAGTTAAGGCAGTCCTAAGTCACTGGACTGGATCCAGTTTAGTTTCATTATAATGAAGACAGGTGGGAGTTCCTATGGCTTACATGTATCTACTCTGCACATCAGCATGTTGCCTGCCATCTGTCACCACACACTGTAATCAGCAGAGAACAACAGGAGCTGTTTCTTAAGATATTTCCCAAACTGAAGAGCGAAACATGACAAGCAGGGGGATGGAAATTAGAACAGATTCAATTAGCAGAACTTCTCATCCTTGCTAAAAATGTTTAATTGAAAAAAATCTAATTAAGGTAGCTGCAGCCACCTCTGTTCTCATTGTATTCTTCGAGAAAACAAACTGCACTGTCATTTCCTGTTCTTGTTATACACTCTGTCTATAAAACATCAGCATTTCCATGCTATAGCAACAAAAAACCTGCAGAGATATCTCACAGTGTTTGATTAGCTTGACTATCTCCCACACTTCAGTTTGATCTGCTCTTTAAATGCATCACTCGCTAGTATGAGAACACGGAAGGACAAGGAAGACAATCCTCAGAACAGGAGACAATGACATCAATAAACAGAGTTGCTCCTCATTAAAGTGTACCCTTTAAGAACTGGTTTCAATAAGGTTGTGCAAGGGATAATGTAAGCCATAATTCAGTCTCAGAATGCAATTAAGAAAGGGATTAAGGCTTCCCCTTACACTTTGCAACTGTCTTATAATTGCAGCCTGTTTTGAGTGGTCCCATGGTATCCTGTCATTGGATCACATTGCTTACTCCACTGTCTGCAGTACTGCATCAAGTTGACGATACATTCAGCTTGCATTGTGCTACACATGTAAGACACTTAATTTACATGAAGTTCTCAGAATAAACTAGTGCCCATTGATGGACTTCAAATTTTAAAACGTATACATGTTTTCTGTTTATGTTACTGTGGAGAAACTAGTTTCACACTGGAACGCCCAAATTTACTTACTGATACACACAAGCGTGCGTATATATATATATATATAGATGCACATACCATCTTAATGAGATAAGTCAGGTACGACACAGAGGGGGGTATGAACACAAAGGGGCACTTTCGATCATTCTTTATCTCTTAGATTACACATGTAAAGGATGTGGCAAGAGTTACCCCCAGAAGAAGGGTTTGGAATAAGGATTTTTCAAGACAAAGTAGTTGCACAGAAACAAAGCAGCTTTCCTAACCCAAATGTTCTCATTATAATCTGGTATAGCACATAAGCATAAGTTAGAATAGCATAAAGCCAGCCTCCACCCTTGAAAACAAAGAGTGCCACCCACTGACTCTGAAGCCCAATAAATAAATAAGGGCTTCAAACACTAACTATTTGCACTGACAGATACTGCTTCACAAGAGACAGCAGCATTTTTAACCGTGGACCTTGCAACACGCAGAACAGAATAAGCAGAGAGATCCAAGGATGAAGATTCAGTCCTGCTCCTGCTTTGGCCATCTGGAGTTTTGCCACTAGACCTCCATGGTGTGGGACTGAATCTCAAGAGGCCTGCCCACGGTCAAGCAGGAAGGCTGTGACAAGAACAGCTGTGTAATCCACAACCAGTATCTGGAGAAGCACAGGTGGGTTCTGCTTGAGCTGCCCCACTCCACCACTGTTAGCTTCACAAACTGCAGAATGAGTCATGAGAACATAAATAGCCTTTACATTCAGTACGCTGGGCTAAAATGACCTTTCTAAAAGTCTGAGTTTGCCATGGCTCATCAACCCACTTCTTTCCCTGCAGGTCTGTCACAAGGGATGATACAACAGGCCAGTCAAAACAGACTGCCAAAAAGGTCAGAACAAAACAGATGC